CCAAATTCTTTGTCATTCGAATTCTGCAACGATAACTTATTTCCTATCAAGTGACATAGAATCATTTGCTTAACCACTTCTACTTATAGCCATAAAATTATTTTCTGCGATTAGCTTGGCGGTCTCAGTCCAGAAATGCCAAATTTGGTAGATTCGCAGATGTCACCGCACTTCCCCTACATCGTCCCTTGGGTCTCACTTCAACCAGATGCCCAAGTGAATTTCAGTTTTATATTCTAGGCCCTTTATTCATGAAATGAGGCGGAGGGGGGAAATAATAGAAATATGTTTTCTTTTGTTTTCGGTATGTCTTTCAATCTATCTACTACCTTCTTTGCTTTTGTGTTCACTTTCAGTTTAATTTAAGCCTTCCCCCCACCCTCTTCAAATTATTAGCATTCTTACAGCATCACAGGAGACATTAGAAGTGTAGCGTAGAAGGAACCGGAAACCCAATCCTAGAAACAAGGTATAAATCTATTCAAAAGTTTGAGGAGGAGTGTGAACCGGATTTTATTTAGAGAAAAAAATAATTAGTGAATAAAATTTCAAAGCTCAATTGGAGATATTAGAAGTATAGAGTTGTAGACTATATTTATCATCTTTTTACTATAATTGATACTATCGACAGTATATACCAACTAAAGTAGTTTTTTTTTTTTTTTTACTGTACTGTTAGTTTACCCAATACAAGGCTCAATGGCCACTCAAGGTAGAGGCTTACTGAACGAAGGAAGTAAGAAGTTCACATTATGAGAACGTATTAACAAAAGATATCCTTAGACATGGACATTTCAAAGTTCTCTGAAGGCTGCTTAGATCAACAGACACCTGAAGATGACTAAAGACAACGGCTGAAACGTTGTGATAAAGCAAACAAAGATGAGAACATTTGTCCGAATGTAAACCTCAACCTTCCATAAGTTGGTAGATAAAGTGGGTTGCAATAAAAGCCGAACTGGTACGGCCAGTGAAAAGATAGGTATTCGACAAATTTCAAACATTAGCAGGAATTTTGGGAGAGACTGAACCTGGGATTTCTTTCTCTGCTACACAATTTACTTTGTCTCAGCTTTGAAAACTTTGAGCATTATTTCCCAACCACAAAAAAGAAAACGTGAGCTAGAAACGTATTCACAAGCCATTTGTGACCAAGTCAAGTGAATGGACTTGGTCCACACTGCCAGATCAACTGCTTGATTGCAAATGATGGAGTCCTTAAAAATATATTTCAGATTTCAAATCCGTCAATGTTATAGATTAAAGTCAAGGAGGAACATACAAAGATCGCCACAAAAACCCTGATTCCATTTCCAATCTCCTATCTTTTGAAGTGGGGTTTTCTGCAGAGACAGCAATTAAAACAATAGAGAAAACTGGACATAAAGAGAACCCATTTTGAATGGGATTATCTCCATCATCCATAGATGATATAGTCTTGTTGCAGGTACACAAGTTCAGGACTCCCACAGATTCTTCATTATGTTGAGTTGAGTCACATTTACAATATAAATTTAATAAGTGGATTAATAATAAAATTATATAACATGCTCACTATTTACATTGCCCGGACTGTTATCCTCATCTTTGTTACCATATTTATCCCAACGTTTCAGCCGCTGTATGCTCCAGCCTTCTTCAAGTGGTTGGAATGTCAAACTGAAACCTTTATTTTGCTTGCTGGGGTAGACTGTTCTACTTCCACATGCCATGTCTGATAATGTCAGTCATCTCCTGTTAATTTCCCTCTGAAAGTTCTCCACCACCTTAACCGGGTATTGAACTCACACTCTTTGGGTCCTGTCACTGGATCTAACTAACGCCTTTATCCACTATGTCATGTGTCCTTTATTATTTAGTGTTTTCTTATGGGCATGACCAGGACCAACATACAACCCCCACCAAAATTGTCTAGCATAATAACACCAGTCCATGGCACAAAAAGGTTGGGAATATGCTGATATATATATATATATATATATATATAATGAAATGGACAAAGTCCGACAATTATTTTAAGACATTTTTTATGTTTATACATTCTTTTGCTAGATACAAATATTTAAGTAAATGCTCTGTATCTATAAAAAGAATGTATAAACATATAAAATGTCTTTTATATATATATATATATATATATATATATATATATATATAAAAATAAAAAAAAATTATCTCAGCATGGAATAGTCTATTTTTGGCTGATCAGAACCCAGACGTCTTCATCTCTTAAGTGTTTTGTCTGGAAGGGAGGGGTTAAAATTTATTTTCAATATCAGTTCTCCTCTAAGAGACACCTTGTTTATGATAAGGGGCTTGTGTTGGTGACTTGGGGGAAGGGGGCTGAAGTGCCTCACTGGGGTTGGAGTTTGTTTATGGCTCGAGCCTTTCATTGTATGTTACTATTACGATGTGCTCTGTATGCAAGCAACAAGTGTGTTTTTTTTTTGTTTTTGTTTTTCAGGGATTTACATTAAGTAGTATTTAGACCATAAGGGTTTAATGTTATTAATAAGGCATGGGGGGGGGTAACCTTAGGAACAATTAAATTTAGGTAAATCAATTGACTGATGGATTCATAAATTGTGGATTTAGAGGATTTTTTTGTGGAAGTTATTAGTAATTAACTTTATGATTTGTTGATATTTGAAAGTTTGCAGAAGAGGGGGGTTTGAACCAAGTAATTTTTCTTTCCCTATTTTTACACCTATATCCCACTGTGTGTGTCAGTACTACCTATAGGGGGGGTTGCATAAGACAGCTTATTTTTGAAGGACCTTTTCATATGACTATTTCAATTAAAGATTTGTTTTCATTGGACGATAGTTTACTAATTCTGGTGCAAATGTAGTTGGGTATTTGTCTTAGGATTGCGTTGGGGTTGTTTGAACTGAAATTAATGCAGTTTGAAATTTTGTTCTCATCATAAGGCTTTTTTTTCGTTAGGCGTAATGGGTGATGTCTTAGGTAGTCAACTATTTTAAGGTTAGAGGAAATTTCAATCTTAAACCCTAGGAATTTGAAGACCCTAATGATTTTTTTTTGTAATTTCACCATTAGTGGACCGTTACTATTAGGAATGAGGATGATTCCATCATCCCTATACAGTCATCATAGTTCTGGTTTTACGATTCTAAGAATGTCTAAAATATAAAAACGTGTGTATGTGTTGTTGAAATTGTGCTCGCTGTGTGTATCAGTTTTAATATTTCCTTAGTCGGCTTACTGTATCCACACACATCCATATATATATATATATATATATATATATATATATATATATATATATATATATATAAAAGCCTCCTATCTAACTTCTGCAGAAGGCTCTTGATTGGGCCTTCATCACAATGGCTAGGGAGGGGTAGATGCAATAAGCAACAGTAAACTACAGGAGAACTCAAAATTGATTGCTGCAATTAAGTATTGTATTAATATTTAAGCATAGCATTTAAAAGTTCAACAATGATTCTTCTAGCACCACTTAATTGACAATTTGATGTGTATAGTTACTTAATTTACGTACAAGCAATTATTTTTATTTTATGGGGAAATTGATGGATTTCGCAATTAATTTCGATTATTCCCAAATTTATTTCCAAGTTATAAAAATTGTTATCGTACAAAAATATTCATCGTAAAAACAATCACGTAAAAAATTAAAAAAAAGAAAAAAATAAAGCTGAAAACAATGGAATTAAAATTTGGGAATCCAAAATTTCAGGATTGCGGGGCCGGGGCCGGATCTGACCCAGAATGTTTTTAATTTATTCAAGGGGTCAGCCTGATTCTAAAATGGTATGATATGTTGGGCTACGACTTATAGGAATAAAGTTGAAAAAGTGTGACACACTGACATTCGCATTTGTTATATAGATGAGCTATTGAGAGTTGTGTCCCTTTAATTCAAAAAAGTGTGACAGTAGCACACTGACATTTGCAATTATTAGGTGTAAAAAATAGGAAAAGAAAAATCACTTGGTTCCAAGCCCCCCCTCTTCTGCAAACTTTCAAGTATCAACAAATCATAAATTTAATTATTTCAATCTTTTTCTTTTTTATGAAAACCCATGTTTTGAACAGACACCCCATTTCTATTAAACAGTGGATATTATGCCTATCATCCTGAGCACTCGAGAAAATTTAATAAAGAAAATGTGCTAACGAAATATTTAGATATTCAACCAAATGTTGTAATTGCAGAAAAAAGATGTTTCTTTAAAAAAAAAAAAAAAAAAATATAATCAAAAATTAAAAAAGAAAAGCATTTTAAAAAAAGAACTTTTAAATAAAGTTTTAAAAATTTGGGGGGAAAAAAAAAAAAGTGGGGAAAATAATCAAGGATAAAGTTTTCTTTTTCCTTTTATTTCACTGGCATTATTTTTTTTTAAATCTGTACTTTTTTTTACAATTTTTTTTTTTTTTTTTTTCGGATTGAAAAGAATGAAAATTTCTTTCTTGTTCTAAAATTGTTATTTTCATCATGAAATTTTTCTTTTTCATCAAATGAGTGCAAGATTGTTTTAGATCTTGGATTGTTTTTGTTTTTTTTAACGTATGTGTATGTGTGTGCATGCATGCATTTTTATATAATTTTTGTTGTGTTTTGGGTTTGTTTATTTCCCCACCCCCCAATCACTGGTTGCCACAAAACTGGTAAATAGTTTGTTTTTTTTTAATTTTTTTTTGTTCTTAAATGAGAGACGATGAAAAGAAGGATGATATCAGGAGCACATCTGTTGTCGTGGTGGCCACAGAAGATCCTGACTGGAGAGTAAAAGGTTTCTTGCTGTGTATTGGGTGGAGATGAAGTGCTTCAAGGTATTGGGGGTGGTCTTAGGGCATGTGAAAGTTAAGGGGAGCAGAAGGAGGGCGAGAGAGAGAGGTGAATTCAGCCATCATCATCATCTGTCACGCTCAGTCATCATCAATACAAATAATGTCCTTCTTCGTTGCAGTTTTGGGGATATCTCCTTTCTCAATCTTGATGCCTTCAGCACCTGGATGGTCCAGCTTCTTGGACAGATCTGCGGCTGGGTTTACAGCACCTGAGAACAGACAGAAAAAAATCGTTAGAGAATTCACCTGCGGAAACATGGAAGCCTTTTTTGTGTAAATGTTGGCTGTTTTTAGCATGTGCCCAAAGGATCCACTTAAAAGACTTCCAAACAATTTCCAGACAACACAAGGAACAGGCACAATTTACACACAAGACATACAACATGGCACTTGTGACAAATAATTGTCAGTCTATTTTTTTTTTTTTTTGACAAATCATTGCTTGAGAAAATCATGCATTAACATACATTTGTAGTTATAACTCCCAACCACCAGAAGAATTCATTATTTATTCAGGGCCTGCACTCCAAGAGACTTTGGGATCCATTCAGACTTGAATCTATCAAATATGTTAGCCTATAAAACTAAATCAAAAGTGAAAAGAGAATATTCGTTAAAAGAACTTCCTATTTGAGTTGACTCATTTATATAGAAATTTTGATACCCTATTTTAAAGTAGAGAAAATGTAAAAGAAAAAAAAACAAAAACAAAAAACATTAATAATAAACTTTTGAAAGAAAAAAAAATTTTAAACTATTTGCCTTGTCTTTGCTATCCCTGAAGATACCTCACCCAGCTAATTTTTTTTATAAGAGGGAGAGAAGGTATTACCTAAGCACCCACTCCAGGCTCTTGTGCAGAGGCCTTGCCCCTCTAAGCTACAAACACAATACTGTTCAATTTTTTATTTTTTTTTTTATATTGAAGTCAGTTAAAAAAAAAATAAAAGGATGTTTACATAACTTTGTCAATAGTAAGTGAAGTTCTTACTGGAAACTTGATGCCATAGTTATGTAATACCAGAGAGAGAGAGAGGGGGGGGGCCAAAACTTAGCCAAAATATGTCTACCCAGCTTAATTGCTAAAAGTTGTTTTGTTTTGATCCTGAATATTTTTGAATACTCCACCCACAAAAAAAACAAACACACATGAATTGGTGAAAGTCAAGGAATTCTGGAGTTTAAAAAATATCAAATCAACCAAAGATTTTCAGAAAAGGGTTTAAATCCTTAAAAAAAAAAAAAAAAAAAAATGAATAAATAAAATAAAACTATACACTTAAAAACTTCATATTGTTACAGGGAGGTGCTCTCTCTCTCTCACTCACACACACATTTCTACTTCTTTACTTAGTCTGTTAAAAGAAACCAATTTGAGAAGAGCAGTTCATGAAAAAACAAGATCCTTCAAAAACACCAGAAGACAAATAGAAGAGACAAAGAGAGTCCAAAGAAAGGCTAGAGCTGTCCATTCCCTGAAACCTCCTACCCAGAATGTGGTTACTGCAGACATCCCTTCATATCCAACATAGGAGTCATTTTACACAGAAGGAAATGTTGATGAGTACCCGAATGAGTTCCAACATGTTGATGAGTACAGCAATGAGTTCCAACAACAACTTAATCTATTGTTTATATAATCTAAATCTATCTACAGATTCATTCTACCTGTAGCATGACAATTGGCCAAATTATAGTGTTGCTATGACAACAACACACTGTAAACATAAAACTATGACAAAATCTGTTATTGTATCAATCATTTAACCAGAGAAAAAGATGAAAGAATATACCTATGACGATATCTTAAAAAAAAAAAAAAAAAAAGAATTATGTGTTGCTTTAAGCAGCTTTTTGCATTCAAACCTACAAGATCCTGACATTTAACAATGCAGAACAATTTGGAAGGGTTTCTGCCTGAATTTCTCGGATGATGAATTATTTACATGATTTATATTTGGACTGTTGTCCTCATCCTTGTTGTTATGGGAAGGATTCAGCATTTTACCCTCCAGAGGGTCCCACAGCCAAAATATTGTAATAACAAAAATGAGGACAATAGTCCAAATATAAATAGTGTAAATAATTTTGAAGGTACATTTTTTCTAACTAATGTCTGTAGGCCAAATCATACCAGTGTAATTATTATAATAATAAATAAATTTTTATAGAAATTATTATTTAAAGATGCTGATTTTGCTAAAAGGTTTCAATAAAACTCACAAAATCTCAAATGTAAATCTTAATTTATTAATGAAAACAAGAAGGTTGCTTTAATAAAGCAACATTTTGGTGAATTTTTCTTTTTTTTATTTTGTCTTGTGTTGGACAAATTCAACCGCATTTTCACTGAAACAAAAATATTACCTCTTGATTTCTAATCAGGGGGAGAAAAAAAAAAAAAAAAAAAAAAACGACTCAGGTGAGCTGTTTTCCAATTTCAAATGACATTGAAATCGATTTTGTTTTCTTTGACTGAATATCACAAATCAATCAGTACAATAGAAATATTGTTCCAGAAAGTTCTTCACTGGAACTGAACTTAAAATTTCTTTTTCACTCTTTCAATAACAATATTCTTCATTTCAAAAAGGTGGTACCAATGTTTTCTCAAGGCTAAAAATCTTTCTCTTTTATACTCAAAACAAACGTGTACTTACTTTAAGGACAACAAACAGGTAAACAATAAAACTGATACTTTTTTTTTTTTTTTTTACAACTTATCAATCTTTTGCAGGTTATTTAAAGCCAGAAAATACTTTTAGATTGTAAGATTTTTGAAGTGATTTCCTGATGCTAGTTCTATTTAACTCATGCCTTTGGGGGGGGGGTAGAACAGGTGGATTCATACCCCTTTCCCAAGGGTATTTGCACATAAGTGAATATAACAAATCCAACTGGAATTGGAACTCCTCTTTCCAATTTCCAACTCTGAGCTCTTTATCCATTACACCACCCACACATCAAAGTTCAGAGCACCAATTATTCCCAAGCAGTCACCCATCTATGTATTGACCAGGCTCAACATTACTTAACTTTAGTGATAGTGTGAGGACAGGTGTTTTAATATAATGTGGTTGGAAGCCCAATAAAAACTAATCATTTTGACCCTGACTCCAAATTTTGATGCAAGGGTGTATATATATAATTTTGAGGTCAAGGGGGCATATATTGTTCATGTGAAATCATAATGCACAACTTGCAGTTTGGTTGCATTAATGACGGTTGTATAAAAAATGAACAAAGCAAATTTTAAGGTGAAATTTATCAGACACTTGGTGAGGACTTACATTCTGAAAACTGTAAAAAATCAAAGCAACAAAAGAAAAGTCTGAAAAGTCGTGTGTGTGTGCGGAGAGGGGGTACTTTTCTTCATGCAACAATCCATCTTAATGAGTTAACATGCATAAATAATAGACCTTAAGAGAAAAGTTTTCAAACTGAAATAAAGTTCTAAGCTAAAAAGGATCAAAATTTTGTCTATCATTCCAGTTGCACTTTCTATAAGGTAAAAAGTGAAACCAGTAGCAACAATGCGTTTTATGCTTAAATGTAATATTCAGGCTTGAAATTGGATTTAAGCATAAAATAGATTTGTTGCTGCTGGTCGTTGACCTCTATGTACCCTTTTATATTTACATATGCTCTATCCCTGATACTGAGCACTTTTACTCATAAATACTTTAAAACTGTATGTGTGTGTGTGTGTGTATATATATATATATATATATATATATATATATATATATATATATATATATATATATATATATATATGTGTGTGTGTTATCCACGTGTTTGGTTGAATAGTATCACCAAGTTGTGCCTATCAAAATTTTTAATAAAATATCATTTTCTAGCATTTACAGTTTTCAACTTTTCTTAATCAAAGAGATACTTCTGAGAACTGCCATATATACAAGGAAGGTGATTTAAAAATAACTCCTTATTTTATGTTTAAGTCGCCAGCCAGGAGTCCTAACTTAACACCCTGTGAATTTTTTTTTCTTTGAGGTTAGATAAAGGAGCATGTCTACTATACCAAGACAAGACTTGAAGAACTTGAAGGGCAAATACAAGAAGTTATATCTTCCCTATCAGAAGAGTTTCTGATAAAATCAGTTGACATGATTCCTGGGTGGCTCAAGAAGCTAGCACACAAATCTGGTGCCCATATCAAATTTTAAATAAAACCTCATGCTAAACGCTTTCGTCTGTCCCATAGCCATTTCTTGTAAAAATTATAGTTAACAAATAAATTATATATATTTTAAAATGGGGACTTACTTTTCAATCACCCTGTAATGCTGGGAAATTTGATAGACAGAACTTGTTGATATTATTCAACCAAACATGTTTAGGTTAGAGCAGAGGGTATATCTTCTTATTTTAAAGGTTATATTTAGTAGATATACTTGCTTGAAAGGATATCCACATTTTAAAATTGGGTAAATTTACAGCCTGTGCAGTTGACAGCCTTAAAGAAACAGTTCAAAATTGTGTCCCCACTGTAGGTGAAACCACAGTTAATCCCAGACTGCTCAAAAACAAAAGACTTTCAGGATCAAGCAAAGTTCAATTGCTCTATTTAAGAAACCATTTTCTTTATTAAGACTCTCATATACCCAGGTCAGTAGACATAAATTTGCACCATTTAAGAAACAGGGCTGAACTAATATTCACTAAATATAACATTCATTGTAATAAAAAATAATGTCAGATAATAAATAAAATTCATTAATTCCTTAGAAATTATAATGTGATATCATTAAGAGTTTCCCAATGGTGTAGTTTAAATTTAGTGTAAGTAGCAATTGTTCCTTCAAACAAAGAGTATTGATATTCTGTATCTGAGTGTTGATCTTTTCCAAATTATAAATTATCCTTTGCAAAAACAACATGTATGAAATTTCCCAAAAGATTATATATATATATATATATATATATATATATATATATATATATATATATATATATAGAGAGAGAGAGAGAGAGGTGTGGAAGAGGAATAGTGCAAATAAATGAAATAAAAACCCTACACTACTTTTTCCCCCCATTTTCAAGAATCACTCCACCCACCCACCCCCAGTCACCAGATTCCCATGACTCATCATCACCAAATCATTTATCCTATTTGAAGCATTCACTCATAGCAGACTGGACAATAACACAAAACAGAGTCTGGCTATGAAAAAAGGAGAGAAAGAGG